TGCGGAGGGAGGGACGGGTCCGGACGAGAAACAGCTTCAGAAACTGACATCTCTATTCCTGAGCGCCTTCCTGACTCCAACACCTCTTGTTTTGCCTTATTCCTCCTATTTCTTGTTGCAGAATTATGGATCCGAGCTTACTGAGAGAGCGAGAGCTATTCAAAAAACGTGCCCTCTCCACACCTGCGGTAGAGAAACGGCCAGCGCCATCTTCTGACTCCTCTTCTTCCAAAAAGAAGAAAGCAAAAGTTGAACAAGGTGGCTCTTCAACCTCAAAACAAAACACAGGTTGGTCAAAGTTGCCTGCTCAACATCTGCTTGGTATTTTCCAGGATTTTCTTCTAAGCTACGGTTTACAAATCAGTTTATCTGTGAATTTTCTTAGGGGGTGTAGTTATTGCTTCTCTTAAATTGTTGGTTTTTGTTAAGAAATTCACTTGTGTAATGGGGAAAAATGCTTTTGCTATTGTGTATGCCTGTCAGGCCTCATCCTGTGACTTGTTTGCTGTTACTCAGTTGGAGGAATCACTGCTGCTAAAATATTAGTTCATATGAACAAGAAAGCTAGGAAAGACTTTTCATAAGGGCAGTTAATGACAAAACAAGGGGAAATGGGTTTAAGCTGAAAGAGGGGAGGTTTAGATGAGATACTAGGAAGAAGTTCTTCACTGTGAGGGTGGTCAGACACTGGAACAGGTTGGCCAGAGAAGCTGTGGCTGCTCCTCCCTGGAAGTGTTGAAGGCCAGGCTGGACGAGGCTTTGAGCAACCTGGTCTAGTGGAAGGTGTCCCTGCTGCTGGCAGGGGGGTTGGAACTGGATGAGCTTTAAGGTCCCTTCCACCCCAAACCAGTCTGGGATTCTATGAAGCTGAGCTTTGGTTTGTGCACCTTTGTACTTGCTTGGCCCACAGGACAAGCAGTAACAGTGGTCTTCTTCTTTTACTCTCCTCTGTTTTTTCAGCCAGAAAGCACCTAAAACTTAATTTTCTACTCTGTAAGTCATTATCCATCTATCTGTGAGGTGGATTTTGCTACTTACATCTTGTCTGGCTAGCACATTGCAGTAGCAGTGGTTCTTGTTTTACCTGGGAACTCACCTTTTGTTCATAAACACCAGGGCTTCTGTAGGTTTCTGCCTGCCTGGGTCAGGAGTTTCATCGTTTCCAGGAGCTGGTGGTGCTGTTAACACAAATTTCAGTGTCCAATAAGCAGTTAATAGAGCAGCACCGAAATCCTGCGAGCAAATGAAAAGTGCAGCACCGGGAGCTGCAGGGAGAGGGTTTGTGTGCTCACAACTGTGTGAGACACAGAGCTCAGAGGACCTTTCCCTTCTCTGAAAGCACTGACCCTTCCCCAATAACACTCTAAAGGTCACATCAGACTAAGGCACAAAATATCCTGTTGTGTAAAGTTGTTGTGTGTTTATATTTTGAATATTATCCAAACTCCAAAAGAATTAATAGGGCTAAAAACAGCAGAGAAAAACGTCAAGGCCGACTGGAGGAGTGGAACATCTCCTTTCTGAGGGGAAGGAGAGGGAGCTTGCCTCTGTAACTTCAGCTTCTCAGGGCGCCAACTAAAGGTATCAGCCAGATGTTTTAAGATAAACTAAAGGAGGGCAGGTTTCCATCGGCCCCTTTGCCACGCTCTCCTCTCCAAATAAAGTAAAATTCTATGTGGAGTATCCTAAAGTGCATATCCTGAGTGAGGGTGGTTTGCTGGGAATGAGGGATGGGGAGGCAGGAGCAGGGCACGCGGTTCTGGGTCTGATCTGGGGGGTTTGAGTAGACGTGTGGCTAGACAGCAGAACAGATCAAGTGTGATTTCTCCTGTGATTTCGTGGGCTGGGTATTTCTTTAGTTGCTTTTGCAGCTGTCACATTATTGGCTTTCACAAGGAGGAACATGTGACTCTGAGGACATACACCTTATCTTTTAGGCTGCTGGCTCCATTCCAGATGGTATCAGAAAGGTTTTGGCGTTTCTCTAATGTCACTTTCATGCACAGTCAGCGCAGTCTCCTTTCTTTTGCTCCTGGAGAGTGTTTACTAACTGGTGCAGAAGCAGCAAGGATGAAAGGGAAATCATGGAGAGTAAGTGGAGCACCTTTCTCCCTCTTGCTCTTCGTAGCTGACCCAGAACAAGCGTCCAGACTGGCAAGAGACTGAGGGGCTGAAGCAGCCACAAGCAGCACAGGTTGCCCTGTGATGCTGCAGAATCAAGGTCCTTGGCCTCAAAACCCACTTGTTATCTGAATCACTGGGTTGTGAGGTGCCTGCCAGGATATTCATGTGTCAGAGATGGGTCCTCGGGGGGTGCAGTAAGAACCTGATGTTGAAGAATTCCTGTCCCGTGCCCCTGAAGAAGTGAAAATGAAGATGATCAGCCCTAGTTCTGTTGTGTGGTGACCACAGAGACGGTGAATAATGTCACCACGACTACGTGTCAGTGTTGGTAGCCCCTGGGTGTGTACTGCCTGCGGGTTCTCCATCGCTCTGTGATTCTGGGACGCAGAGAACCTGCTTGTGTCACATTTTTGGGGACGAGAGGCATTGAGATGGTGCTGATACCTAAATGACTGCATAGCTAATCTGGCCTGAGTGTGGAGATTTCTTGCAAGTTTTCTAGTGAGAGCAGTTATTAATGGTAGTTATTTAAAAGCATTATTCAAGCAAGTTATTTGAAAAAAAAAATCAGAACTGCCTTGTGTACTGAGTTCAGAATGGTAACCAGAAAATAAAGGCAATAGATTGGGTCAGTTTATTTTTTTTTATTGATCAATAGTAAGTTGTGGCCAAGATCTCAAGAGCTTTAGTGATCTTAGCCGACAGTAATCAAGAGCTGAAGTCTCCTGGAGCTGTTTCATGACTTACTCTACATGTGGGGAAAAAATCATCCTGAGGCTCTAGGGCTGTGCAAGGAGAGATCTTCATCTTCTGCTCCTTGGGCAGACCCCCAGCCCCCTTTCTAGATCCGTAAAAGGCATAGCTGGCACGAGTCCCAAGGCTTTTCCTTGCGTGTGCTTCTCGGGAAGGCAGGAGAACACGGAGCCAGCGCAGCAGGGGCTAGCTGTGTTGCTGCCTGCACCCCGCCTTCGGGCGCAGCGGCGACCAGGGTTCTGTGGGAGCGCTGCGAGGGGAGAGCGGTCCTGATGCTGTTCAGGGCGTTGGCTTTTGGGAGGGGGGCACTGGAGTTAGTTCAGTGTGTGCCAGTGGCTGCTCTGGCCTCTCTGGAGCAGGGCTCTGCTCTCTCAGGGCTGATGCTGTTGGATGCAGCAGAAGGTAAGGAGGCATCTCCCCAGTGACCCTGGCAGCAGAAGGCGTTGCCCTCGCTGACGTGATCTCCATCGTGTGTGTCCTGGCAGGGACCCTAAATGGTCCTGTACCTTGGGCATCCGTCAGCTTCCCTTCCTTGTGCTTATAGTTTGATTTTTAGCTAAAAGGGTTCTCTGCAGGTGGGACTGGGTCTGGCACTGGTGAAACCTCAGCGTACCAGGTGGTTGCAGCAGTAGTTGTGTCCTCTTGTGATTGCAGAAGGGAGGTGGCTTCTCCAGGTGAATGGCTGGACTAGCTGTTGGCAGTGGCCTTGGGTATCTTGTGACTCCATCTCACTGACCAGGAAGAACACAAGCCAAATTAGCACGTCTTTCAGCGTGTCTGTATCTTCTGGAGCTTGGGCACACTGAACCTGATAAAGGGAGTTCATCTGTTTAAAAAACCCAAACTATATGTAATTGTAGGTACTGGCCATAGCACAAAGGTGTTTCTGATAGAGAGAGGCTGTGAGATCAGTGCTGTGGCGTGCTTGTCTGTTTGGTCATTAGGTGGGTTTTGTTTCCCGAAGGACAGGAGTTTTGTTTGGCTTTTATATAATTAAAAATCTTGTCCCCTGTGTGGCTTTGGTTTGGGACGTTTCTCGCTGCCCTGCTTCTCTCTGGGTTCAGGGGTGTGAGAGACTTACCGGGCATTCTTGGTGGACACAGTGGTCCGTGGTTACAGGTGGGATTTGCACCTGCAAAACTGTTATGGTTTTAGATGGACACAATGCAGCTGCAGAACTAAAAAATGTGGTGAGCTCAGAGGTGTGAGTGTCAGGTGGTGGTTTGTGAGGAGGGTGTGATCTGAACTCTCGGGGATGCATCGGCAGGCTGGTGAAGCAAGCTGAGATTCTCTTGTGCAAAATGAAGTGGCTGCTCAGTGCACATCCATCCTGCTGACTCCAGCAGAGGCTTATCCTGGTGTGGCCTCCTTGGGAAGCGTGTTGGCACCCGGAAGCTGCCTGCAGGCTGGGTGAAATGGCTGTCAGCAGTCTGGGAGGTCTGCCACCCCCCTGCTTGTGTGCCTTGGCAAGAACTCGGTCAGTTCCAGTTCAGCCTTGGAAAGTGAAGGTGGAGATGATGCCTCCAGCATTTGACTCCCTGGAGCGTTGTGGTTACCACAGAGCAGTTCTCTGGAACTGGAGAAGGGGAGGGAGAAAGGGTCAAATTGTGCCACAGGAGGTTAGAAAAGACCATTTTAGGGATAGGTGTCGTGTTGGTTTATTGTTCCTCCCACCACCCCTTCCTCTAAACCTCAGAGACCCGGTATGAGAAGAGCCACCGAAGGCAAGAATGCGCACAAGCTCTCCTGTCTCCTGGGAGCTCTCGCCGTTCACCCTGCTGTCTCTTTTCTCACCCCTTGTGTGTCCCTCCTGTCCCTGTGTGCTTGACGTCAGGGGGAGGACACTGCTGTGTCTGCTGCGTGTGATCAGCTTGTTGAGCGTTGATATAAACGTTTTCTCCAGTTAAGCAGCACAGTTTTATGCAGGTGAGGCAACATTTGTTCATTCAGGTAGACAAAGATCTACACCAGTAACTCACTATAAACAACAGAAATTCATTTATAACCCAACATCTTTTCTCCGCCTGTAACGTCGCAACAGCTCATCCTTCTGCTGAGCACTCGGGAAGCCTTTGCCAGATATTGAAGTTCACATGTGGAGACAAAACGGGAACTGTTGCTGTTAAATAAGTCCAAAAGCAAGCAAGCAAGCATGTGGCTTGCTGATCTGTAAGGTACAGGAGGCTTCATTCAAGGTGTTGAACATTCTCCAAGTGCTGCCGCTCGGCCCTTGTTACACCACCTCTGTGTCACGCTTCCTGAAGCTGTTCATCATGGCTCTGACAGGGTTGGGCTCGTTCTCCAAGTCCTTCACGGTTTTGTTCTTCACACAGCAGCAGCAGTCTAGCAGTTCGTAGAGGAAAGCCAGCACCACCAGGGACACTACCGTGAAGATGAAGATAATCAGGATGACAAAGCAGGCGGTGTTCCAGTTATCGTGGAAAGGGTAAATTTTCTGCACTTGGAAGCCCAGGTACTGGGAAACGGACGTCGTGTCGTTCCAGTGAGTGGCGTTGAGCGTTGCCATTCTCCAAGGGTTGTCTTGGCCTGTTCACCGTCAGGGGTGTGGGGGCTGAAACAGAAAAACAAAGCTGTTGAGGGCTCTGTGGATCAAGAACCTGCTGTGATTTTTAACCCAAACTGTAAGAACTTTTAAGCTCAGATCAGGCGCTCACACCTCCTGCAAACAGGCATTGTTGCGTGCTCCTGTTTGCTCACAGCAGCGTCAGACTCCAAACACACAACTTGGTGATCTCTCTGGAATGTTTATTTCGGTGATAACGGCTCCCTGTGTGCATCATACATGTAAGTTAGGCTGGAACGAGAGAGCTCTGCTTGATTTTGAGTCTCTGCAAAGAGGAAAAAGGTTACAAAGATGATTTTCAAGGGGTACAGTGGTCCCTGCAGCCTGTCCATGGTTAGTCTTGAGGTTGGTACTTGTGTGGTGTGAAATCCCTCAGCGCTCTTTTGTCGCTGATGGAAAAGCAGGAGATCCAGGTACCACCCTCCCCTGCCCGAGTGAGGAGAAGAACTTTCATAGAATCATAGAATCATAGAATGGTTTGGGTTGGAAGGGACCTTAAAGATCATCTAGTTCCAACCCCCCTGCCATGAGCAGGGACACCTTACACTAGATCAGGTTACTCAAAGCCTCATCCACCCTGGTCTTAAACACTTCCAGGGAGGGGGCATCTACAACCTCTTTGGGCAACCTGTTCCAGTGTCTCACCACCCTCACACTAAAGAACTTCTTCCTAATATCTAATCTAAACCTACCCTCTTTCAGTTTAAAGCCATTCCCCCTAGTTCTGTCATTAACTGCCCTAACGAAAAGTTCTTCCCCGGCTTTCTTATAGGCCCCCTTCAGGTATTGGAAGGCTGCTATAAGATCTCCCCTAAGCCTTCTCTTCTCCAGGCTGAACTTTCTACGTGATAATGTCATCAGAGTCTGTTGGCTTGTTTGGGTTGTGTTTGGGCTTTTTGGGGGGTTTTTCCTTCCTGTTAGGGGAGAAAGAAAGAAATCACTCTTTAAAAAAAGCCTATAAATCATAACTATTTTTTGGAGGATACTTCTGAAGAATGGAACTGAGCTTTTGGTTGTTCTTCTAGTACAAAATAACAGTCCTGGTTCCTGAATGCTAATTATTTTAGAATTGCCTATTAGCACAGACTTGGTAACCCTGTAAAGCTCTTGGCTTCAGAAGGCCGGATTTCCTGACGTGTTGGTTCCCCTGCTCTTCCACTGGTGCGTAAGAGTTTGTGCTGGGGATCTCCAGCTGCTTCCTTCAGCTGCCCCAACGGCACTGAGCGCGTTCGGCCTGTTTGTGGTGCCGTGGTCATGAGTATAGGTAACAAGGAAAGCCCAACCCTTTCTGGGGAGTTCTGTTTTCTTATTTTTCATCTGCATTCGATGCTGGACTGCTAGAAAAGGAACGTAATCTGTGGATGTTTATACCCAGCAGAAGAAAAGACGGGTCTGTGGTGTGGAGGGAGGGATGAAAGAAGAAGTTGGCTACAGCCAACTTTGGCATGAATGGTGTTGCTGTTGAGATCTCCTGTTTTGGAGACAACAGTAATAACATCTTGACTGTTACACCTCTCTTTTTTTTCTCCTCAATTTCTTTCTTTCCCTGGCTTTGCCTCCCAAAATTGAGGGAACTTTATAGTACTTTGGGTGTGTAGTCTAATGGAAGAAAAAAGGTCGAAGGAGCCAAAGTAACTCCTGGTTGCCTGCCGTAGCAGACTGCTGGGCGCTGTAATAACCTCCGAATCCTGCAGGCAGTGTAGAGCTGGGTGTGGGGGAAGGAGGTCATGTGGGATCTCCTCATTCCCTGGAGTGGAGCGTGGTGAGCGGCGCTGCCGGGCCAGCCTGTGCCCCAGGTGCAGGCCTGTCACCGCGTGCGTGCCAGCCAAGGGGCAGCTCACAGGGCGTGCTTTGTCTGCTGGGCTGCCCCAGAAAACATGGGGTTATGGAAGGGGAAGAGAGAGACGAGATGGTAACTTCCTGGAAAGCTGGAGTCCTCTTTCTGTGTCTCAGTAAAAGCTTTTCTGCTTTGAAGGTAAAGCAAAAAGTGGAAGCTGAACGATGTTCGCTACAAAATGGTCCTGGCTACCCACATGTAGTTAATTCCATTCATTGATCACATAATCACACCTACAGGACGGAGGGGAGTGCTGATGTGTTGTTGGTTAATCTGTGCTCACAGGTAATGCTCTAATGAACCTCACATAGCCCAGAAAGAATTCTGCAGTCAACCTGTTGAGACAGGGAAAACTACAGAATGCCTGAGTGCATGGGGAGTGAGTGACCAAGGCAAAGGGTGGTGGTGTCTCCTAAACAGACTTCTTAAGGCAGCCTGAGCACTTGTCGTCATTTTTGTGACATTATTTAAAAAAAAAAATGTTGTGAAAAGCAGGATGATGTGCAGCCAAACCGGCTTGTGATTCCAGTCTTGTCTTTATTGTTCAAATATTATAGAATTTGTTCTGTACCCTCCTGTCTGTAGTGGATTTAAACTGAAAAGGAACAGCTTCGTTGTTGGGAAGGTACCTGGCATTACATGTGATACAGGCATTTATTGGAGCAGTGGCTGTAACTGTTTCCTCTGTTAAATCTGTGACTGAATACGCACATTTCTAATTGAATGCACAACATATGACTGAGATGGATATGATTAATGAAACAGAGTTCCTTGGGTTTTTTTTTTTTGCCTTAATCAAAAGTTTATGCAGCAAATCCAAGCTAAAAATCCTCCTCAATTGAGTTGGGTCCTGGCTTTGAAAATGTGGCTTGGTTTGGTCGTGGTCGGGGAAGGAAACTCGGCTGCCGTGTTTTATGGGGCTACAAGTCCAGAGGGTTTTTGCAGGGGTGCTCTGAAGGCTTATTTGAAAATCTGATGCAGGGGCTGGGGGGGGAAGGTGCTGAATAAAAGGATTTGGAGTCCCCCTTTGAGGGGTTATTAAAACAAGCAGGATTTAAATGTGTATTTTAAACAGCAAGTGAATGTCCTCGGGAAATAAAGGAGAGGAGTTTTGTTTGGAAATTTTTAAACAGATTTCTAAGACGGAGGATTTTTTTTGGAATCTGTTACACGTCACTTTGCTCACTCTGTAAACACCAGGCACAAAAATTAAGTGTTTCTGCTGATGCAAAATTTATTCTTTGAGTCATTTGGTAAAAGCAATGAAGATCTGGGGCTGCTGGAGGGGCTGGGCATGTTCAGTTCACACTGCGTAGCCAGGACCCTTTGCTGGCACCGCTCCCCACCAAGGCAGGAGCTCTCTTCACCAGAGGAGAGGAGCATCTTAGGCACAGCACAGCTCCTTCCCACCCCACAGCCACCACTGGGGCAGCCGTTTGCACAGCGCAGAGAGGCTGTGGGAGGTGGAATTTGTGCTGGAGGTGGTTCCTGCTTGATGATGATCTCCTTAGGTTTGAATGAGGCTGGGCAGATAAATATCAGCTACTCCTTGCTGTGATGACTGAAACACAGAACTGAAGTAGCCCTTGCCTGAGCCTTCACAATTAACACAGCACTAATGAGGTTAGTGTCTTCAGAAGCCATGAACAACAGTCTGTCTTCCTGCAGTTTTACTTAATTTCAGGTGGCACAATTTAAATTTGTCTGGTAAGCCAGTCTGATGGGAATGCCATTCAGGTATCGTATGTGTCTGAAATGCAGCGAGGTAAATATTTAATTAACTGGCTTCTGTCACATCAGCCTTAGGTTGTAATTGAAGAATATCATTGTCTTTAGATGCTGCAGAGGAGCAGTTTTATTTGAAATCATATTCATGGAGCAGAGGGCGATGACTGGCAAAAAAATCCTCTCGGTGCAGTGCCGAGGAAGTGCTGGCTGAGAAACCTGAACAGGCGTTCTGGGATAATAGATTTAGAGCTCTCAGATGGGTTCTGACCTGTCTGTGGGGACGGTATTGATGGCTGCTCCAGTATCTACCAGGATGATAACATGCAATGGGATTTTCTTCCTGCCCTATCGTACCCCGTTTCCAGAACAGCTTTCTAGCACACCCACGGACGTAGGTCTCTCCTAGGCAGCTGCATTGATACGGTTTATGGAATACCCACTGGCCAGACACATTTCTTATATTTCAGGTTGTTCTTTGTTTTAAGGCAAATCCTTTCACTGTCATTTCTGTACAAATATATAGGATCAACTGCAAGGAACAGGAGGTGCAATGAACAAGTTACCTCCCCAGGAGGCATGAAATCCATTTTGTTTATTGAATCTTGGCTTGGTGTGTTTAGCTTTTCCGTAAGATGGAGCGGTCAGCAATTTCCCATCAGTGCAGGGATATGGGGAAAGTGCTTGTCTGATCGTGCAAGCCAAGCTCCTCTGCATCAAATCTGCTAAACCTAGAGAAAAACCATTCTGATTCTAAGCAGCTCGTTACAGGCTTGTAGATTACAGGCATAATTTCTCTGGGTAATCAAGACAAAGCTTAAGGCAGCGTTATAAAATGGTGCACACCTACCTCTGGTCTGAGGAGATGCTGGAAGAGCGCTGTCCTGCTCCCGTTTTTAACGCAGCCAGTGGCACAGCTAAGATGGAGCTTCGCTACCATTGGCCACAGCTCGGTGCTGCTGACAACTTCCTTTTGTGCTCATCTGCATCAAACCCTCAGCCCCAGGAGTAAATCATTCACAAATGTGACTCCTCCTGTCCGGAGCAAGAGGCCAAGCCCTCCGCTCTCTCCTTCCTGCCGAGCCCTTTGTGCACCGTGAGCTGGTCAGCGGAGCAGCCTGGCTGGGAAGGCGACGGCGGGGCGGCTGCCACCCCACGCTGCTGTGGGCTGGGGAGCAGCTGCTCTCACACACACACACACACACACACACACACACGCCGTGGCGTTTGAAGTGTTAATATCTGCAGATTCCCAGCTTGGCCGTGCGGTTAGATCGACTCATCCTGAACCGCAGCAGGCTGTAGCCAGGCAGATTAAACCAGATAATCTTCTTGATTCAATTGACAGGACAAATGCATAATAAGTCGTCTTAACTCTTTGTTGTGCCTCTGAAGTATTTTAGTCGCTTTAGACCCTCATGTTGCACGTGTGAGGTTTGGGGTTTTTTCTATTTTATAAAATAGACATTAATTTTTAATGCTAAAAGGAGCCCCTGTAGGGGAAAATCCCTGTAGGCTGTGTTTTTTCAGGAGGAGATGGCTTTTGTTTTCCTCCCTTTTTCCATCTTAATTTAGTAGCTGTAATAAAATGTTCTTCTGTGCCTGGATTGATCCTGGTTCTTCTGTGTTACTTGTGGGATTGTTGTGCTGTGTCAGGTACGATGTCACGTAATAGCCAGTCACCAGTTGCTGAGTTTTAGATGTGACCTTTGTTCCTCCAGTGGTATGGCTCTCACTGCACTGGCACCAGTTTTTAATGAAATCTTCCCAATAATTATCCAAACCAGATTTGGTTGGAATTCCCTACATCCAGTATTCCCACTTGGTAGCTGCCTTTGGCAGTGACTTCCCCATCCCTTGGGAAGTAGGTTGAGATGCAGGGGGACAGGAAAACACTTCACCTGGAGCAGAGTGACTTTGGAAAATGAGCCCTTGGCAGGGTGTCTGGATTTGAACAGAGTGAATGCACCCCACTTTCTCCAAGTCTCAGATGCATTTGACAGAACATGATCATCTTTTTTTTTTTCTTTTTTGTGTTTTTTCCCCACTGCAAACCCCTCAGCCCTTCCACTCCTCCTCCTTTCACCGCTCTCATCCATACCCTCCAGCTGCCCGGCAGAGCAAAGACTTTGCTTAGCAGCTCTGCTCAGCGCCTGCTCCAGCCTCTCCCTCAGTTCCTGCACTAACTTTACCTGTTCTTTTCCCTACCTCAACCGATTTTTCACAGAAACAACAGGAGCTCAGTATCTCTGAGGTACCTCCTGTCCTGTCAGATTTGATGAGAAATCACCAGTGGGTTAAAAAATTCCTGTGGTGCTGCAGAGGGAGTTTTCTTTTTCTGGAGTAGCTGAAATTCTGCGAAGCTGTTGCCGTTAAGCCTGAGCATTACACTGGTAATGGGCCTGTGGTTTTCGGCGGCGGTTTGTGGGATGTTTCTGTTTAATGCACTGTGCTATAAAATTCATAAACCAGCCCGTTAACAACCTGGCAAGGATTTGCCAAACAAACCTCACAAACACGTTAAGACAGAACCCGGCTTGACAAGAGAGGAGATGCTGAACTGTTGTTCCAGTGGTGCAACGCACCTGGTTGAACTGGTTTCAATTTATGGGTCTTTTAAAATAAATTCTCCGCTACAGCTACTTAAAAAAATTAAATAATAATTAAAAAATTGCCCATCACGACGAGCAATTGTCACAACACCTTCCGTTACCTGGTGATAAGTGAGTGCTGTGAGGGTGACGGCTCCGGCAGTACCTGTTTCCGTTCCTAGTTGTAATTCTTGTGGAAGTGAAGCCAGAAGGAGAGGGAGTGCAGAGCCAGCGGGGCGGTGGTGTTGAGAGCATCATTTAATTGTCTGTTTTCTCCTTTTGTAGATCACAGCAGTGGATCATTTAATTTGAAAGCCCTTTCAGGAGGCTCTGGCTACAAGTTTGGAGTCCTTGCTAAAATAGTGAATTACATGAAGGTACAGTGTTTTGGTGTGGAGTTGTAATGTTTGGAAATACTTTATTCTCCTGTGTGTAGCTGGAAGAAGCTGAATATTTCAAACTCTCAAATTCTTTTCCCACAAGAGTGAGAATTTAAAGAAAAGTTGTTGTTAAATTGCAGATGCTCAAACAGAACAGTCAGCGAATTGTTCCGTTACTGAAATCCTCATTATTCCAGGTCACTTTAAAACTGGGGGAATGTTTTTTATTTGCAGGAGAAGTGGGGATTGCAAGATGCTGACCGTTTTTGGGATTCACAAGCTACTCACCAAAATAACCTGTGATCTGGTGCTTGACTCTGTCATCAGTCTGTGCTGGTCCTAATTATTTTTCCTCCTATTCTCAAAACCCCCGAGTTGACACTCGTGTGCTGTGTGTACTGTGTCTGTCCTGCTTTCACAGAGGTCGTTTTGTCATCCCATTGCACCAATTCTGGCTACTTTGTGGTAATTGAGTTGCTGAATACAATAAGGCCGGAGCTCTAATGGATGCTGTTTGCCTTTCCAGACTCGGCACCAGCGTGGCGATACCCATCCGTTAACTCTAGAAGAGATTTTGGATGAAACCCAGCATTTGGATATTGGGCTCAAACAGAAGCAATGGCTAATGAGCGAGGTAAAGAAAACAGGTGTTTACACTTTAATTAGAGATCAAAGAATTCTGATAAGCCTGAATTATACATGTTTATTTAACTACAATCTCTACAAATATATAATCTCCCTTTTTTAAGAAATGACATTGTTTCACATGTCTGTCTGGTACCTCTTGCAATTGAGGTGACTGTGAAATGAAAGCTGCTCTGACGTTTTTACAGACCTGTTGGAATTATTACACAGAGAATGTATTTTATGTCAAGTGAATTAATTCATTACTAATTTTATATAAACAAGCTGTTTTTCTTAAGGAATTTCTTTTAAAAAAATTTCAAGCAGAGAGCTCGTTCAACATCAAAGATGTCAAATTAACTAAACCAAAGCAGTAACAAAATTCCCAGGCTTCCAGTTCTTCGTTACTTACTGAAATGAAGAATTCTAACGTGACATTTACGTCTGAAGTTGTGGGGCAGTAGATCTGCCAGTTCCACTGCTGAAGTTCATTATTCTCACTCTAGAGGCTAGGTGTCTTTTGTACAGATTCGCTGCAACTTGCCTCCATACTCATCTTCATGCTTAATTGCTCTGAATGTCTTCATGGAATTTCAAGATGAATAAATCAGCAAGATGCTGTGTTTGGCATTTATACCTGATGGGCCTACCTGCTTTTACTCAGATCATACTTCAAATCCTTGCAACAGAGTAGTAAAGGCTGTTGAAACATGGGTGTAACAAAAAATCTCTGCATAATAAAACTAGGATGGTTTTAACTGCTACAGCCTGGAACATTCCTTTGCTACCAGTACTAATACTCCGGGGTACAGAAAGCTCCAGTCTGACAAGGGTTGGTTGTGATGGAAGCTTGATGTTGCTGAATGAAGTCTTTCAAAGGCTGTCTCCAGATTGTTTCCATAACGAACCAGAGTATCTAGGCTGACTGAAAAAGCTCCTCTCAAGGAGTGTGTGTAAAATGATCACTGAATTGTTACTGGATGAGGAAAGGCAGCGCCAGAGTTAGTTACCTTCTCTCTTAGAGTTGTTTTTCTCCCTTCTTTATTCTCTCTGTGTGTCTTCTCTGTCTCCTTTCAAGGTCAGGCTGGCATCTGCAGAAGAAACTAGTTAGAGTTGCCCTCTGTTACAGGTGAACTTCCATTGTGGTGCTGGCTGCCCAGCAGAACTGATTTGGAGCATATCTTAAATCATTTCAATTGTCCATGAGCTTCTGGTCAGCTTCACTCTGAAGCTGGCATCAGAAGTAAAATCCTACTGAACAGGAGGTTCGCTCTTCTCAATTTCTTCTACAGCTGCTGGTCCCAGTTGATGGCAGTTGGAGAAGACTCTCTCCTCTTTTGTTCCTCCCAGGTTAATACCTTTCACATTCATAAACACCTGTATGACCTGAGCTTGATTATGCCAAGCTGTATATTTGCACTTCACGTCCAGCCAAAGCACGCTTGTTTGCATTCCTTCTTCTTTTCATTTTCATTCCTTTCTCCAAAAGGTACCTATGCAGCTTTCCGCTGTAAGAGGCTTCACGGACCTTCAAGCCCGAAGGCATTAAGTGAATGATGTTAAGCCTCCTTTGGTGTTTTGTGCTTTATGTTGTGGCAGATTAAGCCTAGGCTGGTGGATCTAGGATCCAAGGATTTAAAATCCATCTCAAACTCCAACCTTCAGACTGTCAGCTGTGACGTGTGGCTGACAGGCTCTAGCTGCTCAAAAGCACACTAGAAAACAAGTACCAGCGTGTGCTCTTTTTCAAGGTTTAAAATTTATGTCCCTATTACAGGCTCTAGTCAACAATCCAAAAATAGAAGTTGTGGATGGGAAGTATGCTTTCAAACCCAAGTACAACTTGAAAGATAAAAAGGCTCTGCTCAGGCTCTTGGACAAGCATGACCAGCGAGGGCTGGGAGGAATTCTTTTGGAAGATATTGAGGAAGGGCTACCCAATGCACAGAAAGCTATAAAGGTGAGTAGCACATTCTCGTGAGTTGTTTCCATTCTCTTGATAACTCAAAAACTGTTTTGAAGATCTGCTGTTGTAGCTTTTTCTGTATTTCATCCTTTACTTTCAGGTTTGGCCTGATGTCTCAGCCCCACTGTCAGAGCTCTTTTCACAAAAGACCCTCAATCCCCCACGTTCCAGCTGTAGGCATTTAGCTCTGCTCTTGTGCCTTGATCTCAGTTCTGTGTATCTCATCCCTGACTTACTGGTGCACTTACCATCAGCGTCTGCTTTTGGGTGCTTTTCATGGTCAGGTGCTTTGCTGCTCCTGTAGCGTGCCGTGCTTTTTGTAGCACGAGGTCTGGGGGTCTGTTGTTCAAGTTGGAATCCTTGTTCTTGGAAAGGAAGTGATTTTGAGTTGTTGTTGTTTTGTGTTTGTTTTTGAGGCTTTAGGGGACCAGATCATCTTTGTTAATCGCCCTGATAAGAAGAAAATTCTGTTCTACAACGACAAGAGCTGTCAGTTTACTGTGGATGAAGGTAGGTGTTTGGTTACCTGTGTTTCCACAGTAGTTGATTTGACTTGATCTGAAGCACCTATGTGAATAAGCAGTCTTCGGGTATAGCAGTCTTTCAAGGTGGTAATGAAATACTGGGTGTATCCAGATGTCAGGAGGATGGTTTGTATTAACATGAGGCTAACGAGACTCGCGAGTGAGGTCAAGGGTAATGTCCTCTGTTTTATAAAGGATACATTGGAACGTGGCACCGGGAATCCAACAATTCTCTTCAAGTGTAGGGGTACAGAAGAGACTAAAAATCACCTGACTGACTAAAATGGCAGCTAATATTTTGCTGTGTAAAGGGCATCCAAAAAACCCCAAAAGAATGGCTTCTGGGTGCAGGTTTCTTGGGTTTTTTCCAGTTTGTTGGTGATACTCCTTTTATTGGTGAATGCGACGAGAAGCCACAAACGGAACAGAAGGAGGAAGCAAACAGGGAGGAGATGCGAGCAGAAGTCTGGAGAAGGAGTAGTTTACACCTGGGACGAGAGTGCGGGTGTGAGGTAGCACTGCTGCCTGGAGCTGGAGTGGATTTGGGACTTCACAAGTTCAGCATGTGTGTTCTGTCTCAGGGATAGCCGTGAAATCCTCTGCTGCAGTCTCCCTGTTTGTGCCCAGAAATTAATGAGTCAGGGTGTGTTCCAGTAATTACATTTGTGCCAGTATCAGGTGCTGGTCAGTACGGAAAGGGGAAGGCAGTCTGTGTCAAAACATCTTGTTCTAAATGACTCGGTGACACTGAACGCTTTCTTGTAACACGCCACATAAAGCCATCTTGCCATATAAAGTCATGTTATGGTAAAAAAAAAACAAAAAAGGGGAAGAGTTTTGATAGAAACGTGAGCTGCTCTACTTACAGGGCCCTAGAAGAAAGCATAAAGCTCGTTTTTTCTTGGTCTAGTTCAGGGAGACTCTTTATTTTCAATAGAATTAATGAAAATGTGTATCATTAACTTATTTGTTATGTGCCACACTTGTACTCTCAGTAAAACAGCTTTCTTCAACAAAGATAATTATGTAGATGTGACATCTGCATTTAAAAATAGAAAAATAGTTTCAAAATATGGAAGTGACTCTTTTTTTTAAGTCATAATTTCTGTCACTTCTTGCTAGTGGCAGTCGGAGCGGCATGTGAGATGCAGAATTAGAAGCCTTTAGTCTGCGTTCACTGGGGAATTTCTGAGCTCCCAGATGCCCGTAAGCTTTCCCTTAACACTGTCATCCTGTTCAGATAGTCTCCGCTCAGTCCACCAGCCCCAGCTTTCAGGGATCCCGACTCAAGTAGCCAGGGCTGTTGCAGTAACCGTGGAGACAGAGCTTTGAAGTTCTTAGCAGCTCCTGGTTCCATTGCAGTCACTCCTGCTGATAGTTCCTTCTTCTTATGCATTGTTTTCCTGGATCAGTGGCCCTCAGTTGGCTGTCCTAAACGAGGTGGCAGAGGGAGAGCTCTGCCCTCCTGCTCTTAGTCTGTAAAACTCCAGGACTAACTGTGACATTAATAGAAGAGCCCATTTTATTAAGACGTAGCAAGAGACATCTGCCACCTCTTCCTCAGGCAGCCAGTATAAATCCAAGGCTGTTCACGTGCAGTACCTGGTGTTTGAGCACACTGGGCACTGGTGTGTGTTCAGCAACAAGCAGTGCAGGCTTTCGCTGTGAAATGGGGGGAGAGGTTAAAAACCCAACGTCTGAAACCCCGTGAAACAAAAGGTTGAAGCCGTTTGGGTCACTGTCCCGGTGCCGGGAGGCGTTGAAGCCTGCAGGGTC